AAAAATCGGTATCAGCCGTTCTTTTGGGCTGTTTGAGTACACCAGGTTAAGCGCTTTATGTGCGTGATTTTACCAAGCATCCTAGCGGTTCCACAAAGGACCCCTTCTCTTTCCCATTGCACCCGAGAAGGCAGCAGGTGGGGGGGGGGGCCTAAGGCACCCAGCCTGAGACCCACAGCCAGCGAGTGGGGACACCCAGCTTCACACCTGGGCCTGCTTTAATGCGGAGTCTGCCTCTTGGTGGCGTTGAAGTGATTTGCGTTGAGGAGCCCACACCACTTCCACTGCCAGAGGGGAAGGGGGAACATGTTTGCTGTAGTTCCCGTGGGCAGCAAGGGGTAGAGCCAGCATTCGAACCCCGGTCTCTGCCCCCAAAGCCAAGGACTTGGGTGTCCTTCCTCCCACGGTGCCAACTGCTCCAGTGTGGAAGTTGGTCTTTTTGTTCATCCATTTACTTAACAGTGGAGAGAGTCTGATTCGCAGATCAGTGATGGCTACCAGATGATACTTCCCGTCATTCCTCCAGCACCTTCTACAGATTGATTAACTGGCTTCAGAAAGCCATTTGAAGCCCTGAAACCAAAAGAAAAAGTCTCGTTTTTTTCATGCTCTGCCACTTACCGAGCCCTCTCCTCTTTAACGCTCCCTTAAAAGAAATGACGTTTTCAAACTTTTGTGGGTCTATTGTTGTGTTTTTGGTCCCCAGCTTGACATACAGCTGCAAAAACGAATAATAATTATTATCGCTTTGAGTTTTTATTTTATTTATTTATTTTGAGGGTGGGGAGGGGCAGAGAAAGAAGAGAGAATCCCAAGCAGGCTCTGTGCTGTCCGTGCAGAGCCAAAAACTAACAATAATTATTCAGTGCATTCTTTACCTAAAAGAAATGTTAGACGGAAGCTTAACGTGAGAAGCAGAGATGCTTTATTTGAAGGGGGGAGTTGGGGGGGGGTGCCGCCTCCCCAGCTGGCAGGTCCAAAGCCATCCCTGTGGTTCCCAGGGCTCTCAGAAGCATCCGAGGACCACGTGGGGCTAGAGAGCAGAAAAGCCCCTGAGCCGTGGCCGTTAATTCAGGAAATACTTTGGAGCATGGACCGACCCTATGCGCTCAGCGCTGTGCTAAGGTCTGGGCCACGTGGAAATAGAAGATCATACCCTCGCCCTCCAGAAGCTCAGAGTTCGTGGGGAGGAAGGAGAAGGTGCGGGTGTTTAGGACGCAAGTGATCTACAGTCATTTTCTCTTGATCTGCGGCTGGTGCGACACAGCAAAATATCCCTGGGGCTCCGCTGTGGAGGAAGTGGGCGAGACTCAAAACTCAGAGCAGATTCCGTTCGTTTTAGCCTCGGCAACGCTCACGGCGTGGGGGTGTCCACATCTGTGTCTGTACACGACACACATACAGGCGTGTGCCATGTCCGTCCCCTCCAGCACTGATCCTGAAACATGGCTGAGGTGCTGTGCAACTGCAGGGTAGCCTTTCCAAGGAGGATGATCGATGCCTGTAAATTATTCATTACTTTCACACCGTTTCATGGCTGTCTTTCGTTTGAGACAAGTCCCAGACGGAACAAAAAGAAAGGGAAGGAAAAAAAAAAAAAACGCAATAAGGAAATTTGGTCCTGTTAAGATTTTTGCCTGGTGAAAGAAAATAAAAGACCTAAATGCCTTTTCATTAAGACGTTCCCATGCGGTCCCTGTGTCATGTTAATTACCTAATGGCATTAGCACAGTGTGCCCTTCGTTAGTCCCTCACAATTAGTTGGCGAAGCATCTTAACATCCATTACCTCCTTTGGGGCTCACAAAGCCTCCGTTAGTAAAACAATCTGCTAGAGCCTTATTTTGTAACCATTGAAACTCAGGGTCAGACTGAGCTGTTGACCCAGGATCACGTGCCATAGACAGCACCTGTGTTGCAAAGAGGCCAAGGTTTGAAGACACAGCAGCCCCACTTTGGTCCTAGAATCCTGCTGACCGGCTCTGTGACCACAAGAAAATCCTACTTTCCTGGGCTGCAGTCCCTTCATATGTGATAAGCGACCAACTCGTCCTACATCTGTGCCGCACACTTCCTCAACTCTGCATGCATTTATGCACTCCATCCTGACACTGATCTTATTATTCCCATTTTATAGAAGGAAGTTAAGTAATTTGCCTAAGGTCATGCAGAGCCCATATTAACGCCTACAACCATAGGGGTTAATGAGAAGAAGGTACGTTGGAATAATGATTGTGCCAGTCAGCATGGCCCTGGTTATGCTGAAGTAATAAACATCCCACCAAATCTCAGGGTCTTAAAACAGCAAATAGTTTTCACTCACATTTCTTGTCCCCCTGGGAGGGTTGGGAGAGTGGAAGGGTACCACTGTGCATCATCCTCACTCAAGAACCCTGGTTTAGGGGCGCCTGGGTGGCTCAGTTGGTTAAGCATCTGGTTCTTGATTTGGGCTCAGGTCATGATCTCCAGGTTTGTGGGTTTGAGCCCACATCGGGCTCTGTGCTGAGAGAGTGGAGCCTTCTTTAGATATTCTCTCTCGCTCGCTCTCTCTGCCCCTCCCCCTCTCTCGCTCTGTCTCTCGAAATAAATAAGCATTTTATTTTATTTTATTTTATTTTTTAAACGTTTATTTATTTTTGGGACAGAGAGAGACAGAGCATGAACGGGGGAGGGGCAGAGAGAGAGGGAGACACAGAATCGGAAACAGGCTCCAGGCTCTGAGCCATCAGCCCAGAGCCTGACGCGGGGCTCGAACTCACGGAGCGCGAGATCGTGACCTGGCTGAAGTCGGACGCTTAACCGACTGCGCCACCCAGGCGCCCCATAAATAAGCATTTTAAAAATGTTTAAAAAAAGAACCCTGGTTGGGACACCCGGGTGGCTCAGTCAGTTGAGCGTCCGATTTCGGCTCAGGTCATGATCTCGCACCCGTGGGTTCGAGCCCTGCATCAGGCTCTGTGTGGACAGTTCAAAGCCTGGAGCCTGCTTTGGATTCTGTGCCTCCCTCTCTCTCTGCCCCTTCCCTGCTCACATTCTGTCTCTCTCCCTGTGTCTCTCAAAAAATAAAATGAAACGTTTAAAAAAAAAAAAAAAAAAAAAAAAGAACTCTGGTTTAGAAGGCTGCCCCAATGTCCTTGACTGATGATTGACACAGAAAGAGGGGGGATAAAAAAGGACAAGGAGTGTGATTGTTCAGGCTCTTAAAGCCTCTTCCCGGAAGTGAATCGGGCACATTCACTTCTGTTCACATTTCGTTGGCCGAAAGCAACGTGAAATGTACAGGTAAGTGCAATCCTCCCACTTGCTTGGATCCTGTGGTACTAAACACAGCTGGCAAACAGCACTGAGGACCTCTCCCGGCGACCTGCCTCACAAAAACTCATGGGGAAAAGGCATCAGAGCTCAAATGCTCCTCTCAAGTGCTGGACGCTGTTTCTCCTCTTGCCTCCTTCCGGTTTTTCACATGGCTTCCGCTATTAGCATCATCAGTGGATACTGTATAGTGTTACCTTCAAAGTTAAAGTTAAATCCAGAAACTGGATTCTTCACCAGGGATGAGGACTGTTTCTTTAGCCACAGACATTCTTCCATGGCTGCCTTCCTAGAGTCTGATTTATTTCAATATTTCTATATTTTCAACCCATCGCAATTTTACCTTCCTATTTAAATAAATAACTTTGTATGATCTTATAGTTTGTTAGGAAGAGCGAACACGAACACTCAGTTTCGTACGTGGAATCGTTCATTCATTTATTGTTTCAGAAAAGGGGGGGCAGGGGAGTCACGTTTTTAAGCCCAACTCTTTACAAGGCATGAATCTCCAGGCGTAGTTCAAGGGTCAGCTGTATTGTATTCTACCATTTGAATTTCTTTCTACATAAACAACATCATTTAACGCATAAACTAAAATTGTTTGAACTGCTCTGTACGTTAAGAAGGGATGTGGGTGCCTGCGGAAACCTTCCAACAGTAGCAGTCCTTTCTTTCCTCAAGAAGCTTCGTCCATGCCTGCAGTCAGAGGACCATCTGGCGTGGACCCTGTGAGATCACTGAGAGCAACCTATATATCAAATTTTGGTGAAGATTTTTGTTTTATTTTTTATTTTTTTTTTTCAAAATTTTTTTTCAACGTTTATTTATTTTTGGGACAGAGAGAGACAGAGCATGAACGGGCGAGGGGCAGAGAGAGAGGGAGACACAGAATGGGAAGCAGGCTCCAGGCTCCGAGCCGTCAGCCCAGAGCCCGACGCGGGGCTCGAACTCGCGGACCGCGAGATCGTGACCTGGCTGAAGTCGGACGCTTAACCGACTGCGCCACCCAGGCGCCCCTGGTGAAGATTTTTAAAGAGCTGTAGATGGGGTCCTAACATTTTCTTCCTGCATGCCATTGGACAAACCCACTCAGCCCTGGGATGGGAGCGCTCTGTTCGGAGACGGCTCTGGGGATAGGAGGGCAGGAAAGAGTTTTCATCAAGGGAGTGACAGAATGACAAGGTCGCATTTGCATTTGTGATAGCCGTGTAGAGCACAGGCTGGAGGAAGGTCAGACTGGAGCAGGGACTCTGAACCAAAGCACCGAAGTATGCTGAAGTAGAATGCTAGCGGGAGGAACAGAGAGAAGGAAACTGAATGAAAATGAAAATACTTGGGTTGGAAAGGGAGTGTACCAGAGAGAGCGGAATCTATGGTCGATCCGGGGTTATGCACTAGGGGGCAGACAACGATGTTGAGGCCATTCTCTGAGGCAGGTTGTATAGAACGAGCAGGCTTAGGGAGGAGGGTGATAAAGACCCTTAAAATTTCAGATAGAAGACTACGGGAGTTTGGGGGAGGAAGAGAAGCCTTCCAGATACCAGGAAATCTAACAAGGCTTCACGGAAGAGGTTGCATATGAATGGGCAGGAGTTGAACTTACGGAGTTGGAAAGGTTGGGGCTGCCGCCGAGGCCAAGAGTGTCTGCTCTGGCCTTATGCGCGTCTTTTCGTTCACCTATGTCAACAGGTATGTGAGGTCAAGGACGAAGCATGATGTTGACATGCGGATCGGAATCCACTCGGGCTCGGTGCTGTGTGGCGTGTTGGGTCTGAGAAAGTGGCAGTTTGATGTCTGGTCTTGGGATGTGGACATCGCGAACAAACTTGAGTCTGGAGGAATCCCTGGGTAAGTCAAAAGCAAAGCCCTTTTCTTGTTTAACCCTTATCGTTTGCTCCCTTTGTGATCGTTTTCCCTGTGCAGAATTTAGAGGTCTCCATCTAAGAAACCATCGTTTGGGCGGAGACAGAACGTTAAAACTTCACACAAACATTGGTTTTCAGACTTGAGTTCATGCTGAAATCAGCAGAGAAGCATTTTAAAAACAGTGGTGTCCAGACCCCATGTCAGTTCATAGAAAGCAAAATGTGTGGAGAATCTGTAACTTCTTAAAGCAATTCTCCTGGGCAGCCAGGGATGAGACCTCCTGACCTTCTTTCTATACGACCATACCCTCCCTCGAAAACTCAGCTCTCGGGGTGCCTGGGTGGCTCCGTCGGTTAAGCGGCCGACTTCGACTCAGGTCATGATCTCACGGTCCGTGAGTTCGAGCCCCGCGTCGGGCTCTGTGTTGACAGCTCAGAGCCTGGAGCCTGTTTCAGATTCTGTGTCTCCCTCTCTCTGACCCTCCCCCGTTCATGCTGCATCTCTCTCTGTCTCAAAAGTAAATAAACGTGAAAAAAAAAAAAAAAAAAAAAAAAAAAAAAAAAAGAAAACTCAGCTCTCCAAATGTGAGCAAGATCAATGGGTATGGAATCCTCAAAGGTGCTAGTGGCCTGGAAGGGGTCAATGGACCCTGGAAAGTAGTAGTGAGATTCTGCTTACACACATGGGGCCTGATGAGATTTTAGATATATGTAAGCCAGTAAGGTGTACTGACTTTTTGCACACTCTTTCTTTCTAAGAGATGATGCGTAATAGGTAGATAGATCGATCGATAGATAGATGATTGATAGATAGATAGATAGATAGATAGATAGATAGATGATAGATAGACCAATAGACAGCCAGAAAGCTAAGATAGAACACCTATGCATATTCCTTTCCCCATCCCTCACCCCCAGCCCTACATTTGGAGTCACAGAATTCTCTGGTATCTGTCATCATTCCTTGCTAACTATATTTAATATCAGGTAACATGGTATCATGGGAAATAAACTGTGGGCGTGGTATCAGAGAAAGCAGGATTTCCACTCTGCCCCGTACTAAGCTCTGTTAATCTTAACAAGTCATGGAAAGCAGGCACGGCACCTAGAGCATTCATTGCTGTGTCTGTATGCTCTCAAGCCAACACGTACCTTCTCTGAGTCTCACTTTCCTCACTATGAAAGAAGAGCTGGTAATCCTGATATCGTACCTGTGATTTGAAGCTCCGTATCCACGAAGGTGCGTTTTCTAATCTACCAAATGGGCAAAACCCACCATTGTGTCTGGGCCAGTTTGCACCATCCACAAAAGGAGGGGAAGAAATGCCTGTCCCCTAGAGTTGTTGGAAGAATGGAGACTGTAGGAGACGATCCATGCAACTAAGCATATAGTAATACCTTTGGCTACAAAATAGCACTTATGCAAACTAAGTGCTACCCAATTGTTACATCTTATTTACTATCATGACTGTTATTATTATTACATCCTAGCATTTGAAATTACTAGAAGATGTCGGCCCGCCATTCAATATATGAGAATACTGTCTGAGAACTGATTCATTCCCTTAGAGGGAAATGTCATTACGCACGCTGTCATCTGCAAATGCCTTACCCACGGCCTCGAGGCCGTAGCAAGGATGAAAATGAACATCTGAAGCCCAGTTTCTATCAAAACATTTAAGCATATATTGATTGGAACTTCAGCAGAGGAATCAGTAATAAATAAAAACGAGGATGCCTTCCACTATGGGAAACATAATATTGATTCAGTACATGCAAATATTAGTTCCCCTGAGCACTGGCAGCAGAATAATGAAAAGTAGAATCCAGAGAAAATATCAAATGAAGTTGGTATTTAACTTAATTATTTTAAGAGAAAATCAACCTTAGGACCTAACGAAACCCTTCCAGGAGTTTCCTTTTGCCAGGGAGAAGAAGATGGCTTTCTAGCACCCAGTTCTGAGCCTGATCTGAGAAAGGAGACTGGGACATCCATTTCATAAAAGGTCAAGTGACCTCTCTGTTTTCCTAGGTTAGCATGACTGAGTTCCCAAGCGTTCACAAAATCCATCACGAGAATAATTTGCACTTACTCAACACATTTCTCGAGAGCTCAAAATGTGTTTCACACACTTTTATTTTTAGTATCTTGCCTTGCCTTTGAGATCGAGGACTATGCACAATGACACTTATTTGGAAAATACGGAGAATGGATCTTAAATGGTCAGAAATGCTGTTTCTTTACATGTCCTTTGCAGTGAGTTATTCCCTGTAAGCAGGGGTTCAGCAGGATGGGTGAAAAGTACAGTGTATTTGGAAACGCCTCTTTCAAAAAATTTTATTGTTTCCTTGGCTATATTTTTTTTTAGGATTGCAGAAGCCAAGCAAAATATCAAGCATCCACCTTATTCATTCATACACTCGTTCATTCATTCATTCAGAGGAGCACTAAAATCAACCTAAGGAAATGACTTCTGAGCTGAATCAGGGAGTAGAAAATTATCATGTAGAAAACATGGAGTGAGCATTCTTGGCAGAGAGAGTGCCTTGTTCTGAGTTTAGTAGTCATGAAATAGCACCTTGAATTTGAAGAAATGCTGGTTACCTGATTAGCTGGAGAAAGCATAGGGTAGAGTAGGGGAACAGTGTCAGAAAATGAGCTTTGAAGTGACAGAAACCAGAGAATAGAGGCTTAGAAGCCTGTTCAGGACTTGAGTCGTGTCCTATAAGCCTTGAGGATACGAGGAATAAACAACAGTGACATGATCACAGCGGCATTTTTGAGAATAATGTAGTAAGTTAGCACTTGCTTTTAGGGTATAGGCAGTATATCCATCATGTACTGTCTTGACTCCTTTACACAAATCGACTCCTGTAATACAATGACCCTAAGAGGTGGGTACTGTTATTTTCCCATGTTTATGGGTGAGAAAACACATTTACAGAAAGTGTAAGTAGTTTGCCCAAGATCTCTCAGCTAGCAAGTGGTTTCAATCCAATCTGCCCAAACAGTCGGTGCTAATCATCACCACACTAATCTACCCAGACCGTGATACGTCACAGTAAGTAGTCTGCCTGAGTTAGACAGTTACGAGGACAGAAATGCTCTTCACCAAAGGATTTACCATACGAAGTTCCCACAACTGAAGTCTGATCCTTAAGCCGTCTATTGTTTTGCTAAACGAAACAAAAAATGAAACTTGGATCATGAGCTGGGATGGCCAGTAATGATGTTCAGATGAGTCACTTACCTTGTGAGTGAGCCTAGCCAGCTGCCTGCCTGCATTCCCCAGCTTTGTTCCCTGCTCCTTGACATGTACGTTTTCTAGAGGACAGGACATCATCGACTGCTTTTCCTAAAGGACCCTGCAGGCAGCCCCGTGAACTTATAAGACTTGCCTTTGTTCTTAAGAAGCTTGTAGTCAAGTTGAAGAATCCAGGCATAAATATATGAAAATTAAAATGATACGAGAAGGGGCGCCTGGGTGGCTTAGTCGGTTGAGCGTCTAACTTCGGCTCAGGTCATGATCTCACTGGACATGAGTTTGAGCCCCGCGTCGGGCTCTGTGCTGACGGCTCAGAGCCTGGAGCTTGCTTCCGGTTCTGTGTCTCCCTCTCTTTCTGCCCCTTCCCCGCTCTTCTCTCTCTCTCAAAAGTAAACATTCAAAAAAGTTAAAAAAAATTAAAATGATAAGAAAAGTCCCCAAGACCATGAGAAAACTACTGTTGTTTCATGGTGATCTGGACAGTAATTGCTTTTGGGTTCAGAAACATATATGGAACTTGTTTGTCTAGTACAATAACAACGCTGAAAAATCACTGATTTTTGAAGGTTTCTGGGGTCAGTCTGACAGTCATAAGAAAAGCCAAAAGAAGTGCTTAAGTGTGGCTCAGCAAGGCTGTATTTTATCAGAGGCCGCAGTGACCCTTGGGGTGAAGTCAGCGATAATGCTGCTCACTGATTTATGCTTGTACTTCTGTTTTCTTTCATTCTTTCTGCTTTTTTAGGGGAACGCATATTGTCTTTGAGAACTTGTCTTCATGGCACGCGTGTGTGGTCCTGATGTTGGCTTTGCACAGGACAAAAACCAGTGATGGCCTTTGCAGGCCCCCTCGGGAGTGTATAATGACCTATGCTTTGTGCACACAGGAGGATTCACATTTCCAAAGCCACGCTGGACTGCCTCAACGGTGACTATAATGTGGAAGAGGGTCATGGTAAAGAGAGAAACGAATTCTTGAGGAAGCATAACATAGAGACCTATTTGATTAAGCAGCCTGAGGAGAGTCTACTGACGTTGCCCGAAGACATTGTCAAGGAGTCGGTGAGCTTCTCAGACAGGAGAAACAGTGGGGCGACATTCACAGAAGGATCCTGGAGCCCCGAACTGCCCTTTGATAACATAGTGGGGAAACAGAACGTAAGTCCTGGCTTCCTTCTTCTGGTTAGCCACGAATGCATGCTGTAGCGTACCCCCAGCCCAGAGAGAACCGATTCATCTTTTTAACCTTTTCTCTGCTGAGCATCGTAATTGCAAACAACTAAACATCTCTCCTATGATGCAGTTAACCCATGTATGCAATTTCAGGAAATGCCAGAAATGCCAGAGGGTTCCCCACACCCTCTTTTTTTTTTTTGACCTAGCTGAAAATAAATGTCCTGTGAAGGTGGATTATAATCTCCACCCCCTCCCAAAATTACTCGTGTCGGAAAAGATAAACCTGATGTTATTAATGTAACCACGAGAGTTGACGATCAAGTCCGTGAGAATACCATTTCTTAGGTAGCTGGTAGGCGAGGGGTTCTGAGTTGCCCTCTGAAATTCAAAATCAGGAGGGCACTGATGATCTGGGAACATAAAAGCATCACCAAGTGATGCCCAGGGGGAGCACCAGAGCATTCAGGAGTAGCCTTCCATTTCAGAGGTGCCCACATAGTTCTGTTCCTATTTAATGCGGATTTGTATCTTGAACGCAGGGCAGGGCTACTAAGTTGGTACATAGGTGTAATTCGCTAGTAATCAAATTATTTTCAACATGATTCCTTCCAATACCAGAATCACACTAAATCCAATGAGATGCTCGGACTCCAAGATGCACCAGAAAAGGGAGACTGATCGGGGGAGAGAACCAGAGAGGTTCAAAGGTGCTCTTATCCCCGGCATGCTTGTCCAGAGCATGGGCTAAATTACCTGCCCTCTTAGGAGTTTACTTTTAATCATTTAGGCCAAGCACAGGTAGCCGAATTTGTGTCAGTTCACGTGACAGGCCTTTTAAAGAAACAAACAAGAGCCAGTATATTATATAAGACTTGGAAATAGTTTCTCAAGCAAAAGCTGAAAGTGCTGTGCAGTCAGTCAACCACACCAAGGTGTCACCAGCTTTATGAAGACGTAAAAGGGTTGTTTCAATTCATGAACCTGAACTGTTCTCATTGACTTGCAGATAAGAAAAATCTATCTGCCTAAAGACACTTAAAACAGAAAAGGTTACAATTCCGAAAGTCTTCCCTCTTTCTTCTGCACTTGAAAGATGCCTGGGGCACCGGAGGCCAGGTTAACCTGTCTGTTTCCAGTTCTATGTGAAGAAGCTACATACAGAACAGTGCCTGGGTCACATTCCACTGGGGAAAGATGTAGGTCCATCTAAGCCCGCGGGCCTTGTAAGAGTCTACATTTAGGTCTTTGCGTTTCTTCTGAGTGTTTCATTTTCCCCCAAATTCTGTGTCCACACACGTCATCACATGATTTCAGGGCCTTCCCTTCTTTCCATCTTTGGACTGGTACGCAAGGTACAGTTTGCTGTTCTACAAAATAACGGTCTTGTGTACTTCTGCAGTGGGTGCACGGCCAGCTGACGGTGTCCTCTCTGTTCCCTTTGCCTAGTTTGAGCTTGAGCCTGAATCCCAGTTATTAAGAGAGGAGATGTGTGCCTCACCCTGGATACCTCCGTAACGGTGCATGAAATTCTCTCTTGCGTTTATTGTTTTCTGTTTTTCTTTTTGGTCTTTCCATTTGAAACACTTTCTATTTACGCTGATTGTGGAAGTTGGGGTAATTCCTGATGGTTCTAATCTCTGTTGTACCTGACCTTGCTACTAATAATTGAGAACCAAGCAGAGAGAAGTAGAGATGCTGGGTTTTATCTCATGGTTGATTGACTCGATAAAATTGCATAGGAATAGTTGGAATATTTTCTTTGCTGGTTTCCTAAAGGTAACTTGCTGGTGTCATGAAGTAGCTGTTACGATGTGTCATCATCAGTCAAAAATTATATTCTTGGTGTTTAACCATACCGTGTAGTTCTTGCGATGCCGAATTTTGCCTGAATACAATTCATCTGTACCATTTTCAGCACGAATAATCTCAATTCATTTTGATGCCTCCAGACGTAGAAGCCAGTGAATGTGTGTTGATATTCATAAGTAACCGAGTGGCACTGATAACATTTTGGAAATGACTGAATCGGTTGAAATGGTCACAGGCTAGGCTCTCAGAGTTTGTGCTTAGGCTTAACTCTGGGAGTCAGGGAGCCATGCGTGTAATTCAGAGACATAATGTGCACTTGGGAGGGATCAGGAGGGGTCTGGCTGAGCCTGCTCACTGCCAAAAACCCAGTCAGTGCTGCAGAAAGCCCAGACCATCTGAGTGTTTGGATAAGACAGATGAAACATACTAATGCTTCACTGGGGGAGGGGGGGTTCCAGCTAAATTGGCCAGATGTTTTGGCTTCTAATGATTCATAATGTGTGCTTAGAAATATTTTTAATGACATCAGTATGCCGAGCCGTAATCTGTGCTGTGTAGACAGCAGATGTTCAGAGAGTTACGTTCTCATGTGTTCATTCATTCAATGAGGATTAATTGAGCATCTATTATATGCCAACTACTAGTAGTGATGAAAGGGAAGGAGGGACAGAGGAAAGAAACACTTTGGAGGTAAAGTCAGCCAGGAGTTTATATGCTTCATGAAGACAGGAAACATAGATTTCACTTAACCATTGTTGTGCCCACACTTAGAACAGTATCTGGTAGGTAGCAGGGCTTGATTACAGTTTGTTGAATGAATGAATGAGTGAACTGATAGCTACAGGTGGTAAGGGGGAGGAGCCAGTCAAACCTGACTTCCAGGTGACTGGGGAGATGGTAGAACCGCCCTCTGAAAATAAGCCAAACTGGAATGGAGGAAGACTGGGAAGGAAACACTAGGAATTCAGTTTGGGGCATGTTGAGCTTGAGGTGTCTGGGATGGATCAGGGAGAGAGATCCAGAAGGCTATGGAACACACACTTCTGAAGCTCAGACACGAAACAGCAGTGCAAGAGGTGTGAACCTGGCAGTCATCAGGACCTGCATGCAAATTGAAGCCACGAGAGGGGCAGAGATCACTGTAGGGAAATGTAAAATAAAGCAATAAGAGGGCACAGGAGAGATGTTGGGGGGCACCTGATGGGAGGTGAAAGCGAATAAGGATCCCATGACAGACACAGATAGGAAGCAGTCAGAGTGATCAGGAGAGAATTAGAGGATGTGGTGTCACAGAAGCTTGCAGAACATAGCATGTTGAGAAGGAGGGGGCAATCAACAATGTCAGCCGTAACCAAGAGGCCCAGGGTGGTGAAGAAGGGAAACTACCAATGGGAATTAGATTGAAAACCATCACTGGCAGGAGGCAGATTTGATGAGGTGATGGGGTCAGGAGCCAGATTGTCACAGTTGATACGAAAGAACTCTGGATTTCCAAGAAGAGCCCCAACTCCATTCCTCTCCCCTCCCTGATGCCCATTTCAGGAGTCTATCAGTGGTTTGAAACAGCAAGAGATGTTACTAAGAATTATTTCTGGGCCCTCGGTGGTATCTTCTGGCCCCTGACTAAACCTAAAGATAATCTCTTTGTTCTGATGTTGTGCACCCTCCTGTCCCTATGTCTGTGCCCATTTAAGTTAAAATTGCCGTTCAGCCCTCTGGGTTCTGGTATCCAGGTTGCTCTTGGATGCGCTGAGCACTTATGCTTTGCATCCCTGACTGTTAACAAGAGCAGGTGTTCTGCTCACTGAGTTGGTGTCTTGGCTTCCTGAACCCAGGCTCAGTTACCAGGGAAGCCGCCTATGCTCTGAGCCTCTAGGTGGAATGAAAGTAAGAAGACTAGAAGTCAGGAAGTTTGAATCATGGTAGACTATTGAAAGTTAAGACTGTAAAAGCAGAAGCAGGTCATGGGAGCAGACTGAAAATGAAGACTTTGACCTTTAGGGAGGATGTCCAGAAATTTCAAGGTGAGCTTATTAGATGGGTCATCAACATGGTCACCAAAGCTCTCGGAATAAAGACAGAACTTGGGATGTTAAGTGAAGACTTAAGAAAACGGTTCTTACATTAAAGATCCCATTTCCCTGCTGGTTGCATGTTCTGTCTAAAATCTGCCTGTGGGCTTGGGCTTTTACTCATCGAGTTATTTAACAGGCACCCAGCATTCTAGATCCTGGAGATCCCGTAGTGAGGACACAGACTTGGCCCCATCTTGCAGGAGCTTGCCTCTTACAGGGAATGCAGCCAATGAACTATAACATACCTGTGCTGCAAAGAAGTAGAGATCTATGAATAGGAGGTGAATAGAATTACTCAGGAGGATTGTAGAGGCCTCTAAAGATTCTGTTGGAGTGCTTAAAGGGCCCTAGATGCAAATGACCAGGAGAAGAGCTTTGCAGAGAAAACAGCTAGTGCAAAGGCCCTGAAGTAGGAAAAGGTTTGGTGCGTTAGAAAAGGGTTAAAAAGGCCCTTGTCCTAGAACATAATGAGCAGGGAAGAAAGGGGTATGAGATGAAGTGAAAGGAGACAGGAGCTCAGCCCGGCAGGCCTGCTGATTTTGGATTTTATTCTAAAGGAAGTGATAAAAGGTTTTAAGCAGGGCAGTGACATGCTCTGACTTAGATTCTTAAGAGATCGGTTTGACTGCCTTGCGGAGAATGGATGATAGGAGCAGCAATGAACTTAATCAGACACACCGCGTCTTAGATTTATGAGAGGAAGCTTTCATGTTGCTGTAAAATGTATTGTGTGAGGTCAGTAGTAATCTTAACTTGGTTTTTATGACAAGCGATTGGCCAAGCTGCTGCGTCAGGAACAAGCCCCCTCTCAGAGCCTGGAGTCTGTCCCTCATCGATTGTGAAATCCTCAGCATTGTCCCGTCCATGCCTTTCACACCCACCATGGCATCACAGTCCGACATTTTTTTCTGGTGCTCCTCTGAGCTTTCTAAAAGAATCCCCTGGAGAAGAGTACACATTTGCTGCTTCGTTGTAGAGATGTGTGGTTTCTACACCATAGACTGACTTGGGGCATCTGAAATTAATGCGGGCACTGTGGAGGTTGAAGACGTCGGTGGAATTTCTGCATTCCACACAACAAAACCACACGGATGTGCT